TAAAAATCTCATTTGACGGTAACCATGGCAACAACACGGATTTATACTTTATAATGAGGCCAATTATTTTTTACTTATACTAATAATTTATTGCTAAAACCATCTTTTTAAGTAAATATATCGCGGATGTATCGGAAAATCAATTTTACAAAGCACAATAAAGGTCCAGCACGTAGTTCTATTTTTAAGCTAAAGCTATTTAAAATGAATACACGTATTCTACGAAGTGCAGTGTTGGACTAGTAACTTCAGTATACGACTCTCAACTCTGTGGTTGTAGGTTCGATCTTTGGTCAATGGACCAATTGACACTCCCTTACGGTAAGGAAAACATGCGAAAACCGAAAGTCGACGGCGTGTATCAGTTTGACAAGGCTGATCATATAAGAGTACATGCCTATTAGATTATCCAGAAACAGGTACAGAAATCTGAGGCCAAGATCAAGGATTATAGCGCCTGTTATACAGATGCTCTGTTTAATGTTAAAATTTTCACCGTAAGTACTGTAAGTTATCTACAAGCACTCGTAAACATACTTTGAACATTCATTAAGTATTCATACGTTCTCAGATAAACAGCATTCTAATAAATAGGAAACAATATTCTGGAGTACTGCGTGTCTCCTAAGGGATCTGAGCGAGACTTGATGTGATTGTGTTGACGGCAATGCGACCTTAAATGAGACATTCACAGAGTATGTCACAAATATAAAAATAAAATTTTATAAAAGAATTCCGAAGAAGGTTTAAAAATCTTATAAAAAGCCGCGAATAAAGGAATGTCCATCAAATGAATCTTCTATATCAATAGATTTTTGGAAGAATACATTTTATTAAAGAATGTATTAATTGTCAATTGTCAAATTGTTATTTGTCAAATTGTTAATTGTCTTATCACGTGTAATAAGAAATGTATCGCAACTGTCGCGCGTAAATCAATTCGTAACACACAGTTTAAACAATAGAGACACAAAATAGGGTAACGACAGAAAATATTAACAAGCCTGATATTGTCAACAATAAATGCACTCGAACGAAGCATAACTCATTCTATTAAACAACCTTCTGCGGGTCCATTTAACCACGAACTCACCGTCCAATTTAAATCGACCTACAAATATTACATAACATCGTAATGCTGTATTAAAATGAGGGGTCAAGTTAAAATAGTGATAATTCACTTTTTACGCTAATGATATCTTAACGTTGAGAAAGTCATTTAATTTGAGTAATTGCAACATTAATTGGTGGAAAGTTCGGGTTCAATGCGTAGGCTGTGATACGCCTGATTAGTTTTTGTTTAAAGGAAACCTTTAATCCTTTATTTATATAAAAACATTTTGTACACAGTGGAAACTATATGAAGAATTTGTAAACTTTCTGGCTTTATAGAATTTCTTCATATAATGAAACGGCACGTTGTATGGAGATCTAGGAAATAAGAAATCGTTTATTATACATATTAACGTATTCGTTTATTTGCAAAGAAAGTGGAACATTCAGATTGATTGATAGAAACCGCACATATATTAAATGCATGCAAATGTCTATTATCACAACAATAAGAACAGTTACCAATTGCAACAACTTATATAGATTGTACCTTTATTTAGTTTAATAATCATATTGTAACATGAATAAACATCTAATGACAAACAACCAATTTGTTAGTACTGGAAGGAACTAGTTCAAGATACAGGCTAGGTCTAGTTCAAACGCTAGTGCTCATAGAATTATGTAAAAGGTTAACCAAAACGAATAGTGTATCTCAACGATTCGTTGCCTGTTGTAATTGAATAGTTTGGTAGCCACGGCGTAAATTTTTTGAAATACATCGTGGTATATTAATGTAGCAATGTACAGGCCCGTATCTTTTAATGTGTTGTATAATTTTGGATACTTTTTTTAGTCATAACAAAATTAAGTAATTTCAAAATTTTTGTGAGTTTGACATAATATATAAAATATATAGAGTTATCATTTTATGTATAAAACTGTTCGTTCCTACAGATTTATCATCGTGCGGATTAAAAATTGAGATTTGGTCAGTTTGCTGAATATGAAATTAAATGAGTCATTTCAGTTAGTCATCAAAGATATGATGCGAATCTGGAATGAATGAAGAGAGAATTTTTTAAGTCAAGCAGTTCTTTCTGCTGAATCGAAATTAAAACAATAGATTTACAGAGTGCTATAGAATTTATTTTTCCATCACAACGTATATTCAATCAGCGAGAGAGTACTCCTCCGTTAAAGCCCCTAAACGTATCATCATTGAAAAATTAGGTGTCCATGAACTGCGGATACCCAACACGTGGGCCATTTTGATTGTTTTGAAATTTGCCGATTGTTTAGAAAAAATAAATCCAGATCTCAGAATAATAATAATAATAATAATAATAATCTTTATTTTCTTCTCTCAGATATACATACAAGGTTTTTATGATTAAACTAAGATGATAACATTAGGAAGTGTATGTGAGAGACTGGTCTCTGTAACAGGAGACCTGAGTGACAGATAGCCAGCCTCTCCACACCGGACCGGAACACGTACAATCACGTCATTGTCATAAGATAAAATAGAAGAAAATAAGTATTAAGTGCTAAAAGAAAACATTGCAAACGGAGTCTTAAAAATAAATTTGGTGTGTGTGTGTGTGTGTGTGTGTGTGTGTGTGTCTCTGTCTAAGGCACCTTTTATAGGCACCGTTATTTAACTCACACAGTTTCTCTTTCGTGTAAAAAATTGATAAAATAAATACACAAAACGAAAAACAGTGACATATAGGAAGTATAAACATTGCAAATTACTTTTAATCCCGCTACGTTACCTTAAATAAACAACATCACACAATGTGTTCATTACACAAGACCAAGGCCTAAAGTGAAGTCGTAATTTACGACACAGTAGCTCCACTGCAATTTACGAAGTTGCACTGGGATATTAATTTATATGAATAAACTTTATATCTTAGATAATAGTTTGGTCAAAGCACCAAGTCATTGTTAAGAAGCGCGGCATCCAAAATTAAAGTAGCCTTGATGATCGCCAACCTTTCGAAAAAGATGGCACTATAAGAAGAAGAAATTTTATACATGAACACTTATATTAGTAATGTAAAACAACAAACTGATACTGATCGCAATTCACTGGAGGAGACCCTGACAAACAGGGTTACCCTACAGTGGATCTCTCGGCCATTGCTGCCGACGAGCTTGGAGGACAGCCCCATGTGCAGAGGCTGTTTCAGCGTAGAGGAATCAGTCACCCACGTAGTCCTGGAGGATGTGGCTAAACAACGTTCATAAATCCTCGGAGCAGTGTGGTCGCTCCGTGAACTTCTGTGCTTCTCAAGGAGGTAGGCTGGCTTAGTAGGGCTTTACGCACAACGAACCTAATTGAGAGTCTAAGTGCGGAAACTGAGTCCACCAACTTTTAACTTTTTTTAGTAATGTTTAGTTAGACGCGCTAATCTCAGGAATTATTGGTTCCTAAAGAAAAATTATTTTGTGTTAATTGACAAGGCTTCCAGAAAAGAGTGCAAAAGGCCGTTAACACACTCGTGCCGATAGGCTAGCGATGGGTGGCATTAAAATATTACATTATGCTAAATTTATACTGGACATCATTTAATAAGGTTATTTTATAATAATCTCTTAAATAAAAGTCATTCAAATAGTTATTCGGAGTCATCGGTGTAGGTATTTCAATAATCATTTGTCATTACACGCGTTGCCGCGTCTATCACCACCCGCTGCGCCTGCGCATCGACTAATATATCTATATGTGAACCGCGGCGGTCACTTTGTAAAATCTAGCGCGCGTTCGATGCTATGCGTTTGAGTGGTATCGGACTGAGTCCTTGAATACATTGCGGAAGTTATGTTTATGTGTTGTAATAAACTTTGATTATGAACGCTCATTAAATAGAGATCCCAAAAACGAGTTTAGACTATGGGGCAGAGGGGATCCAGCTTCCTTCCAATGAAGCTTCGTTGCCAGGTCAGTTTTGGACGGCCACGTTTCCTTTTGCTTTAATTATTCCTTAGTATTGTGACTTGCGTCCCTCCGGAGCATATGGCCCGGCCCACCCACTTCCACTTTCGGCGTTTTATAGTCCTATTGGCACCTCATTTCATAATTAGAGATTATCTCCAGAATATTCCGAGGGTTTCACGAAGGTAGCGGTTCACGAAGACCTGGAGTTTTTGTGTGGTGCTCTTTTTACCGTCGAAAACAGTTTGCAATAATGTTGTTAAATAAATATAACAAAAATAATACATATTTGAATTAATTAATTAATTTCATTACTTGTTGTCATTTTACCTCGTTCAATTAAAGTCATACCACCACAAAAATCAAATATCCTCTATAATTAATGCTTTTAATTTTAAAGTTAAACGGAATAAATAATGGTGATTGTTAAAATTACTGAATCACGTTTATTTGTATGTGCTGCCATCTTTCACTCAGTAGCAATACATTATTTATGTACGGTGCGGTCTTTAGTAGTTAAGGTCGATCTTACAAGAAATATTGTTTTGTATTTTTTATACTGCCATCTAGTAAAAAGTCATATGACTACGTAAAATTACTGCTATAATTAAAAATATTGTCGAGAATTGTTACCAAATTTGAATAGAATTATTTTAATTTGTGCATTATTTATTAATTTAGCCTTTACCTCGATTTATTTATACTATATAAAAAAGTTTACTAACATTAACAATATTCCAGGCCAATTGTCAAATTTTTCAAACTATCAGTAATATCACAACAATCAAATTTCATTATTTTGCAAGTCTGTGCAACAATTACAAATTACACAAGTATGAGAAATAAAATTAATTATAAATTCCTTTAATTGGGGATATTTATGTTCATTAGCTTTAGTTTAGTAATAGTCGAAGCGAAGAGAGAAATGTTATATAGTCGACAATGAAAATAATCACCTGAGACGCTAATATTGGTATTTCTTCATATTAAACTTAATTTCAAAATGAACCCTGCAGCCTATCGCATGATTGGTAAAAACCTGCGCCTTAATTTCTACATTAAAAGTTTAGGTAAAAAGCTTAACTATAGTACAATAGATGCTATCGACACATTCTCCTATCTGAGCAGACACCTCAACAAAGGTGATACTATAATACCTAGATTTCCACAAAACCTGCATAATGATTTCACTAATAATGATGGATACATAAGAACTTATAAAACTGATCTCTCTAAATTGTCCGGCGTTGAATTAGACAACATTCTATTAGAACTAGAATATCAAAACAAAGATAAAGAAGTAATACAATTTATCAAGGAATGTGTTGAATATAAAATAACTATTGGAAAAGATGTGATTAAGAAACTATTTAGAGTATACAGTACAAGAGCTAAAGTTGAACTAGTAGAACTTTTACAAAAGTACTGTTCTAGGATCACACCTGTTTTGTATAAGAAAAATGGAGAATTTGTGCATTATGTTGCAAAAGCTCAATGTATGAAAGGTAATTCTGATAAAGGACTGTCTATTTTACTTGATGCCTATAAAAAAAATGTAAATCTAAGAGGGTTTTACAGGATAATTTTAAAGGAACTAATTCAGGACACAGTTATGAACCGATCAGAAGCGTCCCTTGTCATTTTTAAAAGATATGTATTAGAATTTAGTAATAAATGGCAAGACAATTATCCATTGATCTGTCTTTGGCACATTTGCTGGAAGAGTGATTGGTTCTCTGATCAAATGTTGGCTGATGAATTATTGGAGACATCTAAGACTCTCCAAAGTATTTTAGCAGACATGTAAGTTTCATTTCATAGAAAAAAATTGTATTTAAATATTGCTATCTATTATAACTTAACAGTAACATAAAAAAAAATATTATTGATTATTTTCAGTGGTATAACAGGTTTCTTATATATGTAGTTTTTTAGATTTTTGTTACAAAAATAAACATAATATACATTTTAAAAATTAATAAAATGATAAATTAATAAATTGATACTAATGCTTTATAGGTCACCTACCCTTTGTCTTAGTATTTTAAAAGAATACAATGAAGATGCTGTTACAAGACTCATGCAGTCACTATTAAAGTACAAAATGATGGATCAATATGCTAATGTAATACAAATTCTATTTAACTTCAAGCGTAAGTACTTCATGCTTATATTTCCACAATGGTGTAGTTGTTAATGCTTATGGTGTAATCCAGAGGTCCCCTGATTCAGGTTTATGGCAAAATCGAAATTGTTGTTCACTCAAACAAGTTATTTTTAAAACAGAGCTCTATGCCAGAACACTAATTACATTAGAAGTAGTAGTCCATGTAAAAATCAATCTTAGCATAAATATACATTTAATTTTTAACAAGGCCTATTTAGATTAATTAATGTTCTGGTATTTGAAATAGATATAAGTTATTGCTACATTTCTGATAGCTTGTATTGTGTGAACTAGATAAGTCACAGTTTGCTTTTGTTCCTTAACAAATATGTCTGTTTCTTATCCCTGATGCTTCATTAGGTTAATCAAATAAATATTTATAATTAATTATAAATATGTCGGAGTGGTACAAATAGAGCTGACTTCCTTCTTCTTGCATATATTTATTTAGCAGCCAAATGCAACAAGTTTTTTTTGTTCAGGCCACAAGCTTTTCTTGTTGAAGACCATCAATTATAATTTTAAATTAATAATATAAATTATTATGATAATTTTTATCCTTCCTGCACTTGATAGTGTTTTTATTACAATATTATTTTTAAAGGACACAGATATTAATAATTTTTACATAATATTCCATCTATTTAATGTAATGTCATGTTATTATTTATAAATTTTTCAGTAAGAAACAAAGATGTAAGAGGCTGCACAGAGATTCTTCGGAATTGTGAGGTGCTTGGAGTTTCCATACCATCATACCAGCAGAGCCAGTTCATCAAACTTATGATTGGAAAGGAAAGTGACAAAACAATTCCTACTAAGGTTGAGGACTTTAAATTTAAATTTTAGTTTGTAGTTGCCCAAAAAGTCTTTAAAGCTTGCTCGCTACATGAGTCTGCGACATTGAGTCTTTTTTTCATAAAAGCAACACTTTTAAACCGTACAATGTGAGGTTTAAGATATATCAGTATTTTGTGATTATTTAACCATATAAAAGAGTCTTGGGCTATATGCTCCACATATACATAGTACTGGAATAAATATGACACATTTCAAAGACAAGAATATTAATTCATGTGAGAGATGTGGGCAAAAAACAAACATACTTTTTGCATGTTTATGAGTAATACTATATTGTGTACAAGCATTTGTGATATGATAAAAGCAAATATTATTTAATTCTTTATAGAGAAATCAAGCATTGTATATTCATGTTTTTGAATTTCCAACATGTTTTTATTAACAGTTTTGTTACTAACAATGATAGGTACTAAAAATTGTTATTTGTATAGCAGTAAAATCATGTTTTACATCCTCAGAATTGTATACTGTATAGTGTTAGATTTAATAGTAATTCTGTAAATAAAGAAGATGTATTGTATAGATAATAAATTGGTTACACTTTTTATATATCTTTTAAGTTTCCCCTGTTAAAAAAACTGTTAAACATTATCTAACTTCAGCTACCTTCTACGGCTCAATAAGTGGCGCTAGTAACATCTATCGAAAAACAACGTTACTGTTTTGTATCCAAATATATAAATTATTTATTATTTTCTAAGTAACCAGTAAGTAAGTAAATGCAAATTATTATTTTTTGAGTTGGCATATTGGTTAAAGCGTAAGTGGACTTTCTTTGTATGCGCATTTAACAGTCGCTCGTAGGGTGAAGGAAAACATCGTGGGGAAACCGTCATGCCTCGTCGGTATGTCCGGAGCTTATCGCCTACATGCCTATTAAGAGAAAAATTATTAACCCTTTTCTTGTTAGTGTATCTGTAGAGAACCACCAGAATTAAAAAAATCTAGTGTTTAGAAACCATGATATTTTTTTTAGGAATATTTAGGCCATTTCTTAGTTTCGGAACGCAACTTAAGTTTTTTGTGTTGGTAAGACTGATGAGCTGTCAAACTTCACTTTAGTTCAAGTTCCGACATGTTGCCTCGCAAAAAGGTAAGAAAAGTTATGATTTTTTCTTGTTTTTATGTATTGAATGAGTGGATGTGTTAAGTTATTAATTATAGATATATTTAGCACTAAAATAATTACTTTGGACATTCTTTAATTGTCTGGTTGATGCTTCATGTGACTTTTTTAATGAATGTATCTGCTCGTGCACATTGCCAAGAAACTAACAATTCTATATATATTTGATATGTATCTCATGGTACACACTGCTAGCTTTACTAACAACTTTTACAAAATCGTCATGTATCTGTATGTGCACACTGCCAAGCTGAATAACTGTTCATATGGCTATGCATGGCTTATTTTATATATTAATTATAGGTCCATATGCTTTCAAGAGCTAGCAAAATACTCACATTGGTGCCAAAACACAGTCAGTTATCAAATGATGAAGAAAGTTCGGATTCTAGTAGTGAAGTCGAGAATTTTAATCTTCAAAAACGCGATAGTACTGAATCTTCATCTGCTCCTTCGCTTCCTTCTTTTCTTGAAAATCTTCACATACTTTCTGACGATGAAAACAACCTCACTTCCTGCCCTACAGTATCAATGAAACCAGCGTCCGAAAGTATTTCTTCAACTTTGGATTCTTCAACTCAAAATTCTCTTCACTCGGTCATACCTCCTTCACCAACTGCCATTGTAAATGTTATTCGAAATAAAAAGCCTAGATTTAACCGAATAGTGCCTGAAACACCAGAGTCATCGCCAGCAATAGTAGCAGCCTCACCATCGCCGTCAAATATAAATACACGCTCAAAACAGCCACGGCTAGCTGTAAGGCGCCTTGCACCTATACAAAGAAAGCAACTGAAATTCCATTGGAATAACAAGAAATTTGAACATAACGCCGAAATACACGATAAACAGTTACCTTCAGATACCATAAAAACACCACTAGAATATTTTCAATACTTCTTTGATGATGGCATCCTTAACATGATTACAGAGCAAAGCAATTTATACTCAACTCAAACAATTGGTCGTTCTCTTAATTTTTCAACACAAGACATCAAAGATTTTATTGCAATAAATTTGATAATGGGAATCGTGAATATGCCGGCCTACACTGACTATTGGTGTCAGGAATTCAGATTTTCACAAATAGCTGATGTAATGACACTCAAAAAATTTCAACAGATACGACGGTACATCCACTTCAACGACAATCTGCTTGATGACGGTGATCGGTATTTTAAAGTAAGGCCACTCATTGAAAAATTAGTGCCAACTTTTTGAGAGTTCCTCATGAAACCAGGTTCAGCATTGATGAAATGATGGTGCCATATAAGGCCAAAAAAGCCGGTAATCGAAAACAATACATAAAGAGCAAGCCTCGCAAATGGGGTTACAAAATATTTGTTAGAGCTGGCGTTTCGGGCTTCATTTATGATTTTCTCGTATATGGAGGTGAAGACACTTTCAGATACCACCTATTTTCACCAGAAGAAATGAGTTTGGGCTTTGGGGCAAAAGTCGTCTTCTCACTATGTAAAACTATTCCTGATCCAGCATGTTCAGTTGTGTACTTTGACAATTTTTTCACCAGTCTAGAGCTAATACATATTCTCCGATATAATATGGGTATATTCTCCTTAGGCAAATATACTATTGTTAGCGGACTAACGCCATTTTGTAGCAGAAACCTATATAAAGCGTGGCAACACCGGCGTTGACTCACTTTTATTTCTAGACTTCGTGCGAACGGGCTTGTTGCTAACCTAACCTCGGTAGATTTTAAAAGTCTAAAGTACCTACACGTTCTTATCTTTTATGTTTCCTAATATCAGAATTGGGATTTGAACTTTTCGCTCACTTCTCTTTTGTTTTGTTTTGAGTAATCTTTGTGGTTTAAATTTTCCTTCTCTTTGTGTCCGTAATGTACGAAGTCACGAGTGATTAACATTTTAAAAGTGCTCTTTGTTTTAAAGTGTTGTTTGTGTTTGTCATGAGAGTGCAACAGTGTCGCATTAAATTTGGGATCGTCTAGTCGGCAAGGTAGACGAGAGATGCTTTGACAGAGGACGGCCGAACGGTTGAAGAACAGTCAAATCAATCAGGACACTGTCGTTAATGTGGGTCGTAGACCCCCCCTTGTAAATTCCAGAAGGATGATCTGGTCTTTGTTATTAAGAAGATGCAAAGGTATGGGTTTCTGTTTTAAATTTTTGTGGTGCTAATGTGTTTAGACCACTTTGAGAACATACAAGTGTATGGGTCTCTGTTTTAAGTTATTCTGGTGCTAATGTGTTTAGACCACTTAGAGAACATGCAAAATGTATGAGTCTCTGTTTTAAAAAATTGTCGCTTATGAGAGCACTAGGAGCCACTGTCGATACGACGGTGTATTGCAAATACTGAGTTGTCTTTATTTGTGTTAAGTCTGAAGCTATCTAATTCTGTAATATTTGCTTTTTGAAAGATCAATGGACAGGGTAACCAGTCCCAAACTCACGATCTTCCTGTATAAATTGTAAAAGATCAATGGACAGGGTAACCAGTCCCAAACTCACGATCTTCCTGTATAAATTGTAAAAAGATCAATGGACAGGGTAACCAGTCCCAAACTCACGATCTTCCTGTATAAATTGTAAAAAGATCAATGGACAGGGTAACCAGCCCCAAACTCACGATCTTCCTGTATAAATGGTAACAAGATCAATGGACAGGGTAACCAGCCCCAAACTTACGATCTTCCTGTATAAATTGTAAAAAGATCAATGGACAGGGTAACCAGCCCCAAACTCACGATCTTCCTGTATAAATGGTAACAAGATCAATGGACAGGGTAACCAGCCCCAAACTTACGATCTTCCTGTATTAATGGTAAAAAGATCAATGGACAGGGTAACTAGCCCCAAACTCATGATCTTCCTGTATGAATGGTAAAAAGATCAATGGACAGGGTAACCAGCCTCAAACTCACGATGTTCCTTTATGAATGGTAAAAAGATCAATGGACAGGGTAACTAGCCCCAAACTCACGATCTTCTTGAGAAATAAGTAGACCTTTATACCTTATATCTACTCTTATGGTGATACTAAACTTGTGATTGTTTACACAAGTCCTTTACACATGAAAGTGCTAGTTTGTTTCAAATCTTGTAAGGGTTATGAATAATCTTTCACTCATTCCTTGGAGTCTGATACTTTAAAGTTCCTTTCTATCTTTCATTACTTTGATTGTTTGTATTAAACCAAGTAAATATGTTCAGCTGCTGACCAAATAGACGACGCAATACCTTCCCAGAACTGTAATGTTCTAACGTTCTATTCTACCCACAGAGATGACAGTATAGACGCTGGAACATCAAATCCTGACGAGGACGTCAGGGTGTCAGGAGAGGCCGTGTTAGCGGACTAACGCCATTTTGTAGCAGAAACCTATATAAAGCGTGGCAACACCGGCGTTGACTCACTTTTATTTCTAGACTTCGTGCGAACGGGCTTGTTGCTAACCTAACCTCGGTAGATTTTAAAAGTCTAAAGTACCTACACGTTCTTATCTTTTATGTTTCCTAATACTATCTTAATATATATATTTCTTGTGTGCGTGTGTATGTGACTGAACTTCTCTCAAACGACTGGACCGATTTTGATGAAATTTTTTGTGTGTGTTCAAGGGGATCTGGGAATGGTTTAGATTCACAAATCAGCCCGGCAGATGGCACTGCAGTCGGTACTTTCATACTTTGCTTAATATCCTAATCGCTTTAAATATCATGCAGGACAACGTCTGTGGGGTCCACTAGTATATATATATACCCATAAGGTCAAATAGACTACGTGGTGCAGAACAAAAGCTTATACCTGATAAAGCCCTCAAAAAAAAGGCCGCGGATCTTATTCACGAGTAGTATGCAATACAAACAAAGTCTGT